AACTTGCAACTCAGCCAAAAGGAGATCAATCGGGATCAGGGGATCAGGATATCAGTCGCTTGCACCTGGGGGCATGAAGTGCCGAGGAAGCAAACAGCGGGGAGGAAGGGTGGGAGCGGGAGGAAGGGTGGGAGCAGAGGCTTCCCTGACAAGGGAACCTCTCAGCTGCAGGTACTGACCAGGCAGGCAGCTCTACCAGACTTCTCACTTCACCCCCCACACCCCCATTTGCAGGCACAGAGCTCCCTGAGCGCTTTCCTCTAGAGCCAGGGCCGCTAACCACGGCCTGACCCACCCATGGCGATACCTGAGGGATGAAAAGTGTCTGATGGCCTTAGTTCCCCAGCCAGGTCCCCCCCCCCACCACCACCGACAGTTGTTTATGTATTTGGCTTCTGTGGGAGAATGCTGCTGGTATCCCATGACTGCTTCTCCCCTTAGTAATGCCACCCCCAGGTCTCATCTGGGCTTCTGCTTCTTCAGACCAGGCCAGTGCCCAGCTTCCCAGCAGCTAGGCGCCTCCTCTCCTGCCTGGCCAGCCGCATAGTGCATGTGTCCTTGAGGGGAGGCCCCGCCCTTCCCTCTCCCCGATGGCCAAAAGGCAGCTGAAGCTCAAGCAACTGCTCCAGAGCCTGAGGTGGGCACTGTAGGAGGCCGCACGGTAAAGCCAGAACCTGCCACCCAGGCCCAGGGAGCAGAGCCCAGGCGCGTTCCCTGCTCTCACTAGCCGGTTACTTTAAAATTGTTGCTCGTAATTCGTAGCTAAATTTAATCCTTCTTAATAGAGCATTGAGGATCCCTCGGTGCTGCAGGGATGGGGTACCTGGATGAAGAATCTAGCATGGAACATGGAAAGGGGTCCTGGGAGAAAAAGAGCAGCTCTCAGAAGGTTCTAATGACTTGACAAAACCATGGGACTCCCTTGGCCGGCCAGAAGATGATGGCACAAACAGGAGAGCACACAGAACTTTAATACTTGTTTGTAAACATTACAATTCCAGATGCAAGCTGTGAACAGTCCCATGTGCTGGGGTGGGCAGGAGAGCCGGGTCTCAGCCAGTGGCAGGCGCTGCAGAGAGCACGCTGGGACGGCAGGTGCCACGGCCGTGCCTGGGCCCTGCAGGCAGCCGAGTCACGCTGCGGCCCAGCGGCAGAGGCAGAGGCAGACGAGCCCTCCGCATGTACAAACACCCGGTCAGCTCTGCCAGCTCACGGGGTGGCGCGGTGGGAGCCAGCACACCGAAGAGCAGGCACAGGCCCCACCGTGCCCGGGACACAGGCAGCGATCCCAGCCCAAGCACAGGGAGGACAAAGGAAAGTCTGCAGAAGAGGGTAAAGGAGCCGAGAAGCCGGGCTCGGAGCCTCCCAGCCACCAGCCGTTTCGCATTCCCAAGCCCAGGTGTGGCCTTCAGTTGCGCATGGCCAACGGCAGAAGTCTCCAGAGGTGGGTTTTGGTGGTGACAGGGGACATGCCTGTCCCAGGCGGCAGGACAAGGCTGGTCCTGCAGGCCCGCCAGCGGGCCCCGCAGACCCGCTCCCTCCGCCTGGGCCTGGCTGTCACCATGCACACTCTTCTCACAGCCAACCTGTCACTAGCCCAGGAGTTTCCCCGTGGCTGAGGACAGCTGACACACCGCCCCCACCCGCCGACTCCTGCGGCCCCGATGTGAGGCTCTACCTGTGCCCCAACCAGGACGCAGCAGAAACCCCTGGGCTCCAGAACCAGAGGCCCAGGAGTGGGGCAGGGCCGCCTGCTCAGGACAGGCCCCAGCGGGTGGCTGGCCTCAGTCACCTGGATTCTGCCCACCGCCCTGCTGGGTCAGGAGCAGAGGGAGTGTGAGGCGGAGCTCACCAGCTGGGACAGGCCGTGAGGACAGGCTGGGAAGATCTGGAAGCAGCGGCAGCCTCTGCAGAACACCAAGTGGAGTTCCTGAGGGGCCCCACTCTGAAAGACCCACCCTCGGGACCTTCTAAAAGGATTAACTGCTCCTTTCACTGGGGGCTGCTGGAGGTGGAGAGGTGGCCAGATTTGAGGTGGGAAATGCTCCAAGACTCACCTGCTCTACCACCGCCACCTCAGTGGAGACCAGCGGGCCCTGGCGGAGGGACAAACCCACAGAGCCTGGCACTGCCCACTGGTCCAGTGCTGCTTCTCCAGCAGTGGTGGCCGGTCGGCCTCCAGGGCTGCTGGGGGCCCAGATCTAACATGTCTTTCCCCACCCTCGGAGAAAGTGCCAGAGAGCAAGCGTGGCCTGCTCCCTGGGCAGTTCCCACACCGCCCCCCCCCCCCCCCCAGCACAGTGTTAGGGACCAACAGATGACACTGCAATGAGTCTCAGAAACTGATGAAGGCCGAGTGGAGGTGCACGTGCTAAGATGCCCCGTAGCCCTGAGAAGGCCAACGAGTGGCTGCCGGCTCGTCCTGGGGCCTGAGCCCAGGGGTACAGCTGGGGTGGGACAGGCACCTGCCTCCCACCCCTGGCTGTGCAGCCGTCGCCGGGTGCAGGCTGGGCTCCAGGACTGCCACGCTGAGACAGGCGGCCGGCAGCCTGGGCTGGGCCCGGGTCTTGGGCTCACTCCCCACTGTGCCGGGCTTTGCCCGTGAGCCGGCGGCGCTGGGTCTTGCTGGTGCGAGTGGCGCTCGGGGGCTTCTTGGTGGAGTCCTGGGCCCGTTGGGGGTGTTTCCTCTTGACCTTTTTACGATTGTGCGCATGCAGCGATGCCGTGAGAGAGGAGATCCTGCGGGAGGGCAGGAGGCTAGTGAGCCCAGGGCCTTGGTTTACCCGAGAGAGCGCGGCATGGGTGGAGGGATGACTGAGGGTCCAGCTCCTGAAGAGCCAGTCAGACAGGCCCAAATGCCAGGAGTGCCACGCCCAGGGCACTCCAGGGCCTCCAGCCCCTCCGCTCAGGGCGGGAGCCTGTGCCCAGCCACCGAGGGCACCAGAGTCAGACCTGGGGGAGGGGAGTGAGACGAGGAGGGGTCTTGGCCCTCCACAGGCTCAGAGGGGGATTCCGCGGGCAGGGTCCTGATACTAGCCACGGGCACAGGCTCACCGCTGGGACAGCAGGGGGTCTCGGGACTTCCTGGGTAAGGCCCTGGCCGGCTTCTCTGGGGATGGCGGCTCCTCCTCACATCTGAGACCGGCCCCTTGCTAGAGAAAACACAGCACACGCTCTGTCATGGAGAGTGGGGGCCCAGGTCCTGGGCTGGGCACCCTGAGCCACAGCAGCTCTGTCCAGGGGGCCGGAACAGGGGCCAGAGAACTCGGGGTGGTGGAGTCACCCTGAAGCAGGGCACTGGGGAGCGATGAGCTGACAGATGACACCCCAACACCTGCCAACGAAAGAACCTAGAGAACAGGAACAGGGCTTGTCTGAGTCAGGACGCACGAGGAGCAGGAAGCAGAAGAGAAGCATGAGGTCAGCACGGCGTGGCGGGAAGTCTGGTTTCCTGGCAGTGTGAGTGTAAATTCCTACGCCACCCGCACAAACACAACTTAGCAGACGTAAATGTTTCAGAAGGACACCTTTACTATGATATTTTGATATTTTGCTTTTTTTCAAAATGCTGGTTGTAACCTGCCAGTGACTCCACACACACACACACACACACACACGCCCTGTGAAACATACAGGCCTCGGCAACTTACCAAGCAGCAGGGATGACGGTGATGCAGCGCCATCTCGTGCACTGGCCGCCACATCGCCGCTGCGATCCATGAGGCAGGTGCTGCCACCAGCATCCTGCAGTCACTGGAACAGCGAGCAGGTGGCACAGAAACCGCCCACGCTCCACAGCTGCTCGGTGGCGGAGCTGCCCTCTAAGCCCCAGGGTCCGGGGTTTGCTAGGCCGCAAAGGGCGCTCAGAAGGAACCCCGATGACATGGGCCAGCACTCAGCAACCCCAACAGGCCAGTCTGCCCGCATGTCCCTTCTTCCCCAGGGCTGGGAGAGAGACTCACCTCAGGCGGGGGCAGGCCCAGCAGCCGGGCCCCCGAGAGGTCCAGGTCACTGATGGTGGTCACGGTGACTGTGTGGTTGGGGTGGTCGTACTGCACAGACTCGGTCTTGGCGGTCACCAGCCGCTCCAGTTCGTCCGCCTCCTCTGTGCAGGGTGGGCACAGAACTGGCCTCAGCCCCAAGCAAGGCAGCTAGGCTGCAGCCCCCTCCCGGCCCGGGGCTGCAAAGGCCCCTCTCTCTCCACTGGCTCCCGAGTCCGGCCTGCACACAAACGCCGTACGTGGTCAACTCCTCCCCTCATGTCCTAGGGAGACCTCAGAGCCCCTGGTTGCCACCCAGGACAATCTGCAGTGACATCAGAAGGTGCTGCCACTCATGGCTTCTACTCCGATCCTCTCCTGGCCTCAGAACTGGGCTTTCTGCTCAGCAGCAGTTTACCGAGAGGTCTGAGTCTCCTTCTCCTGGTCTCTGACCACGAGCGGACCCAGATCACAGTCACAATCCCTAACCCGGTCAGCTTCTGGGCTGCCTTCCAGCCTCTCCTCTGCCCCAAAGGGATCTATAAACCCTGGTCCGTGGGAGGTTCTCAGATGCAGCCTAGGGTGGGACTTACCCAGCGCCTCCTCTCTCTCTGACAGCATCTTCAAGTACTCCTGATGACGCTGAAACCAGAAGGGAGCGCAGGGATTATGGGTCCTGGCCCAACCACAGATGTGGTTCAGGGAGACCACGGTTCTGGATGGAACCGGGAGATTCCGCCCTGAACCTCCCAGGGACCAAGCCCAGCCCATTTCTACCTAGAGAAACAGCTCGCAGGCCTGCCACACTTCCCTCCTCCCACAGGTGCCCTACTCGGGCCATCTGGGGCGGCAAGTCCCAGGCGTCACAGACCTCCCGGCAGCCCATCTGCCTCCCCGCTCGCACCTCCTCCCGGAGTTTCTTCTGCTCCTGCTTGAGCCGCTGCTTGATCTCCTCAATGGCTGCCTTTTTCCGCTCCACCTTGCGCTTGTGGAAGCCTGTCAGGTACTCTCTACAGGAGAGACCAGGAAGAGCAATGGGAAGACATAAGAAGGGTTCACTCCACGAAGAGAAAAACAGCTAACACCTCCCTGCTATGCCACAGGCACCTAGTTTACACTTTAACTCACGGAGCTCTCACAAGGTATCATCCCTCTTCTACAGGGGGGCACTGTAGAAGCCCAAAGAGACTAGGCTGTTTGCAGAAGATCACAGTGAGTACAAAAGGGAAAAGGAAAAAGTACTTTCTGCTTCTCACCACCCTCCAGGGTTCTTAGCTTCCAGCAACAGGGTCCGGTGGTGGACACAGGTTGTGGCCTTTGAACCTCCAACAGATGGAGGCCCTTTCTGCACTGGCAAACTCCATCACCCAGTGAATTCCGCGCCTCTCTACTGAACCATTACCCCATTTCTGCAGAACGCCAGCCCCCTGGATCCATCTATATGGCCAGCAGACGCCACCCTGGGTGGCCTCAGCACTTATCCGCT